TACACACACACACACACACACACACACACACACACACACACACACACATATATATATATATATATACATACATACATATACACACAATAAAAGAGAGCATCGAACAGCCAATGCCTACCTGAGTATAAAAGTGAGTATATTCAGCAGGATCAGTGCGAAGATAAAGACCTGCAGATAGACGCCATTCCCCGCGCCTTCTAAGAAACGAAACAGAGACTTACGAGCACTAGTGTCTTCTTCATAAGTAGGTAAAGATGTCGTCTCAGTCATGTCTTGCGCGGAGGGTGCTGTGGAATGCAAAACGTGTTGTATTGTGTGTACGTATAAGATGTATGATGGATTGTACTATGTGTGCATGACGGAGAAAGCGATACAATATATGACGTACTGTAATATATATACATACCATGACGGAATATATGACGTACTGTAATATATATAAACATGACGGAGAAAGCGATAGCATATATGATGTACTGTAATATATATATACATGACGGAATAAGCGATACAATATATGACGTACTAATAGTATATAAATGATGGATTAAGTGATAGAATATATGATGCACGTCTTTATATATATACGACGAAACAAGCGATATAATATAAGATAGACGTACTACAATAATAATATATACCTGTATGCACATAATAATAAATACCTGCAAGAAAATAATAACAATATATATCTGTATGCACATAATAATAATAAATACCTGTATGAAAGTAATAATAATATATATCTCTTATGCACATAATAATAATAAATACCCTGTATGAAAGTAATAATAATATATATCTGCATGAAGGTAATAACAATGCATACCTTGTATAACCAAAATAATAACATATATCTGCATGAGGATATTAACTAGCTGCATCTGTTTGTTCGTTGGGACTAGTTGTGCGTATGATGTCACCACAGTCTAATAACAATACATACCCTGTATAATCACAGTAATAACATATATCTGCATGAGTATCATAACAATACATACCCTGTATAACCACAATAATAACATATATCTGAATGAACACAATGACAATACATACCCTGTATAACCACAACATTAACATATATCTGCATGAGCATAAAAACAATACATACCCTGTATAACCACAATAATAACATATACCTGCATGAACATATTAACAATACATACCCTGTGTAACCACAATAAAAACATATATCTGCATGAGTATATTAACAATACATACCCTCTATAACCACAATAATAACATATATCTGCCTGAGCCTATTAACTAGCTGCACCTGTTTGTTCGTTGGCACTGGTTGTGCGTATGATGTCACCACAGTCTAATAACAATACATACCCTGCATAACCACAATAACAACATATATCTGCCTGAGCCTATTAGCTAGCTGCACCTGTTTGTTCGTTGGGACTAGTTGTGCGTATGATGTCACCACAGTCTTCACAGCACATGTCTTCCGCCAGAGCTTCCGCGCGCGCCTCTGCGAAGGGATATAAATAGATCTATGAGTATATAGATAGATCTGAGTATATAGATAGATCTATGAGTACATAGATAGATCTATGAGTACATAGATAGATCTATGAGTATATAGATAGATCTATGAGTATATAAATAGATATATGAGTATATAGATAGATCTATGAGTATATAAATAGATATATGAGTATGTTGACGAAAGGTTATGAATGGATATATGAGTATGTTATAAAGAGAGGATATCAATAGATCTATGAGTATGTTAACGGAAAGTTGAATGGATTTATGTCTATGTCAACGAAACATTATAATTGGATTTCTGAGTATGTTATAAAGACGGGATATATATAGATCTATGCGTATGTTAACGAAAGGTTATGAATGGATTTATGAGTATGTTTTAAAGACGGGATGTAAATAGACTCCGAGGGTATGTAGATAGTTTCCCGACTATGTTAAAAAGGGGGTATAAATAAATTCGACGAGGGTATAAAGTATGATAAAGGTGAGATATAAATAGTTATCATAGGAGTGACGATATAAAAAAAAAGAAGATATAAATAGACTCCGAGGGTATAGAAATAGATTCATGACTATGATAAAGATGAGATATAAATAGATTACGAGGAAATGTAAATATAATCAAAGGGGATGTATACAGATAATAATAGGGGATACAAATAGATATACGAGTATGTTAGAGGTATGGTATAAATAGTTTCATGAGTGTGCTGAAGATGGAACATAAACATATTCACGAGTACCTAGCACACAGATATGCAGGACACCCCTCGTAAATATGGACATTTTATTATTACACTACAAACTTACAAATATACAAATATGCAAGTATGCAAGTATATGAATATACGAATATACGA